TTCATGTTCTATCTATCGCTGAGGACATACTCCTCAGTCTTCTCCTATCCTTCCGTACGCGCTCCTCCTTATTTTGCACTCCTTACGTTCCCTTCGTCGTTCTGTACTTTGTCTTCCTTCCATCTCTCCTCTCACTTTGCTCTGCCTCTTTTTGTTTTTTTTTGCCAAATAAAAGCTTCATAAAAGGACTGCAAATGCGAGCAAGAGTCAGAGAATGGGAGGAGGAAGAGAGGATGACAAAATATTTCTTTCAAAAGATCAAAACCCGAGGAAGGAACACATCAATTGAACAGCTCGAAGGCCCTCAGGGAGTGGTTTCCGAAGCGGAAGATATGGTGTTGGTGGCACACAACTTCTATAGTACACTCTACACGTCAAGGGAGACTGAACAGCCGACCCAACAAACTGCGGAGGCAAGAACCAAGTTCCTCACCTACTTGAAGCGTACGATAGATGGTGAACAAGCACTGGCGCTAGACACCCCCCTCTCACTGGAAGAACTCTGGACAACACTCAAGTCGATGTCCCCTAACAAAACACCAGGAAAGGACGGAGTCACCAGAGAATTCTGGCTAGAATTTTGGCCAATTCTAGGAGGGGAATACAAACAGTATTTAAATGAATCCTGGCAAGAGGAGAGTTTGGGCGTGGACCCGACCACAGGCATTGTCACTTTGCTCTACAAAAAGGGGGATCCTAAAGACATAAAAGACTACAGACCCATCACGTTACTGTCACTAACACATAAGATCGTAGCAAAGGCCCTTGCCAACAGATTGAGTAGTGTAACCAAACGATGTTTCCACTTAGACCAGACTGGTTTCATTCCAAGAAGTTTTATCCTGGACAACGTAATGACACTCTCGGAGTCGGTAAGATACATCAGGGATAAAAAAATTAACGAGGTTATTCTTTTCGTTGATTTTGAGAAGGCCTACGACCAGGTGAATTGGAACTTCCTCCAGCAATGCATGGAAAAAATGGGCGTGGGTCCTAACTTTCAAAAATGGATAAGAATCCTCTACAACGACGCCCTCGGTCAAGTCCAGGTAAACGGCCATCTGTCGTAGAGGTATAGGATGACAAGGTCCGTTCGCCAAGGAGACCCCCTAGCAGCGCCTATCTTTCTCTTTATTATGGAGGCGATAGCGTCCTTTCTAAGGAAGGACCCATCATTTTTGCCATCAATAGACCGGTTAGTAGCAGAGCCAGACCAGCAAGGCAGAAGTATCAAGCTCCCCACAACTAAACTGTTTGTTGATGACTTGACAGTGTTGATATGGGTCTCAGACTCCTCCTTTGAAGCCCTTACACGGGTAATGAGTGCCTTCTAGCTAGCATCAGAAATGAGAATCGATTGGCCAAAGACAGTGGGGTGGTGGATGGCACAAGGGGGGGACTGGGAACAACCCCACCCACCGAACCACGGCGGTATGAGTTGGCTGTCAGCAGCGGAACCCTTGAGGTATCTAGGAATTAAAATGATGGACTCAGGGCCTCACCACTCGATGGCACCGAAACTCTTGGCAAAAATGCTAACGAAGATGAGTGCATGGTCTTAAGTTTACACTTCGGTGTTTGGGAGAGTCCTCATTCTCAACACTTCAGTATTTTCCATGATATGGTACGCCGGCACGATATGGACTCCACCATCCCAAGCTATGAAGAAACTAAGGAGGGAGTCAGCGACCTTCCTGTGGACTTCGAACCCAACTAAGCAACATTTCATCTCGAAGGTGGCATGGCGACATGTTGTCAAATCCAAGGACCAAGAGGGACTGGGCATATTAGATCCCGAACAACAACTGAAGGCACTCCAAACAAAGTGGATCTTGAAGTTGATCATGCATCCACAACTTCCGTGGGTACCGCCCGCTATGGAATATATTAGGAAACAGACCAAGTACAAAACTCCTTCTAACATGAAAGGGACCTTCTGGGTACTGAGCAAGAGCTGGGCAAGGAAGGGAAGATGTGGGAACGAGGGAGGAGTAGAAGAAGGGTGCCCTAGGGAAGGCTCGTATTGAGCGCAACTACTGAAACTTTGGGCGGAAATCTTCCCGGCGAAAGTCAAGGGAGGAAGTCCTGAGGCAACCCCTCTTCTGCAATCCAGGGTTAAGGACCAGCAAGGAAAGCCTGGTCCGTTAGGATGGAGAAGAAGGGTTGACGAAGGAGGAGGTAGAGATGGAGCTGGAAGGGACAGCGCAGCTCCGACGCAGACTCAACACGCACGTACTCCAAGATGTGCAAAAGTGAAGAATGAAGTGGAAAACAGACAACAACTGGGGTATACCCCCAACGGACTAACTGACTGAATTGGACTGGCCTGGTACCGACAGTGGTACCGGGCAGGACTGGACTGGACTGGAACAACACACGGCCTCTGGGGTCAGGCCACGACCTGGTCCCACAGGCCAAACTGGCAAATGGTCGAAAAGGCCCTAGCTGTAGGTCAGGGCAGATAGAGGCCCGCTGCACGATCCTCGGACCCGTAATGGATCGCAAGAGCCATAAACACGCTATCCGCAAAAGCAGCGGAACTCTGCAATAAGGAAAGATGAGAAATCTAGGATGCGGAGCAAGCTCCATGCGGAGTCCATGTGATGCAGCCTAAGCTACATAATGTCGAATGGAAAGCAAATGTCTGGTATACACAGCCTAACTAACAACAGAAAATGAAATGTAGCATGATACAATCCTAAAGTCCTGGAGGCAATGGCCTCAGTGCTGGAAGGAAAAAGATTTAAAAGAGCAATATGTCACAAGATAATATCATGTCGCTGAACCACTAAGAGTGGGATGGTCTCAGAGGGGGTGAATGCAGCCTAAGAATCGAAACTCCTAAGGGCAGTCACACATGAAGGTGGGATAGGTCATTAGGCTCAAGGTGAGGGAGTGGTAGCGAAACAAAACCAATGACCCGAACAGATAGACCATCAGGGCGGGTAATGCTCGACCAAAAGGTGACACCATGCAGGGTCGACCATGAAAAAGGGGGACACTAGGGTGATGAGGGCAGTGGGTGAGGGAAACATGCACACAACTCACCGACTGGGGGAGGGAGGAGCTAGATCTGGGAGCAGGGAAGCCAAGATAACGCTACGGTCCCAATGCCTATGCGATACCAAGGGAGAGCCCAACTCAAAGAGACCCAACTAAGTGAGAACCATCATGCGACAAATGCAAGGGAATGTACAGGGTAGGGTGGTGGCGTGAAGTAGTCACATCCAAAGTAGCCGAAGCCGATAAGATGGCTGAAGTCGAGAAGGTGGCTGAAGTCGTCGAAGTGGTCGATGACGTCAATGAAGTAGGAGTCGAGTCCATGTCGAAGCAGAACCGCAAAACACTGACATCTTGAAGAAGCTGATGATGGAGTACCTGAAGGTGTGAGTCGGTAGGGAGAAGTGGGTGATCAGAGTATCAGTCGTCGAGACGCCGAGGGCATCAACGAGCTGTGGATGCGCGGAGGCGTACGTCTGCTGCTGAAGAACGGCCTCAGAGGGAGCGGGCTCGTCCTTAGCGATCTCCTCAGCCGGAGGAGGAGGAAGAGGTTCAGTCGGCTGAGTAGGAGCAGATGTCTCAGCACGAAGAGCACGATCATATGCACGCACCAACATCCGGGCGTGGTCCAGGTGCTCGAGGGGTTCCCAAGTAGCCTCCTCATCAGGATAGCCCTTCCAACGCACAAGGTACTCGATGCGTGGAGGGGTATTGTCGGTAACTCGGCGAGATACGATATCGGAAACAACAAACTCCTCGTGACCGTCCACCATGATCGGTGGAGGGCGCTCATAAGGACGTCTGGCGAAGCGCTCGGACGGTCTGCGATAAGGACGCAACAAGGAGACGTGGTAAACATCGTGTACGCGAGCCTGTCGAAGATAATCAGGTAGCTTCACACGGAAGCTGACCGGACTAGCGGCAGTATCAGAACCGACAACCTGAAGGATGCGGCATGGACCGAAGAATCGACGCCTAAACTTCCGAAGTGTATCCGCTTCGAGCTGTAAGTGGCGTGCGTCGACGAGCACATTGTCACCGACTTTGAATGGATGATTCATTCGTGATCGGTTTGCTCGTGCGGCCATGCAGAGTCTGGGAGTCGGCTAGACTCTCGTGTGCGCGCTTCATAATCGCCGCCATGTGGCCGATCCAATCGTCAAGTGCAGGACAACGAGTGTCCGGGTGCAACCGCGATGGTCGGAGGAAGTCCGCGGGTACGCGAGGGTGGTAGCCGAGGTCGCAATAGAATGGCGACATCCCCGTGGCTGGCGAAACAGCGTGGTTGTACGCAATCTCCGCGTGGGCTAAGTGTAAGTCCCACTGCTGGTCATCCCTAACAAACTTTCGGAGGATATTACCGAGAGTTTTATTGGTGACCTCAGTTTGACCATCCGTCTGAGGGTGGTAAGACGATGAGAAGCGGAGCTGGGATCTGTACACCTTGTGTAGGTGTCGCCAGAATGTGCTGGTAAAGCGCGGGTCACGGTCGGAGATGGTGCTCTGAGGTAAGTCGTGATCTCTCATGACTCAGTCAAAGACGATGTCGGCGACCTCACGAGCGCTAATGCGATAGCGGCACGGGACAAAACATGCCCACTTCGTGAAGTGATCGACGACGACCAAGATAGCATCATGACCGCGCTTAGTGGGTGGGCGGAGGGGACCAATGAAATCCATCGATATGGATTGCCAACGACCCTCGGGTATGGGTAAGGGATGAAGTAACCCATACGGAAGGTGGTTCGCAATGTTCACCTCCTGGGAGGTAGGACACTCCTGGATATAGGCTTTAACGAAGTCCTTGGACTTAGGCCAGACGTATAGGCGGCAAACACGAGCCAACGTTTTGTGGAAGCCCATATGACCGGCAACTGCCTGGTCATGGAATTCTGCCATAGCCTGGACGCGGAGCTGTCCAGTGGAGGGAACGCAGATACGTGGTTCTAGCTGACCAGATCTGCCATGCCAGTACATGAGACCGTTCTCACCGAGTGAGTATGAGGGAACATTCTTGCCACTCCGCAGTGTCGCATGGATGATGCGATAATCCGGGCAATGACAGTACTGAGTGCGATATGCGTCGATCACCGACTGATCAACAGTGGTGATGGAGATGGCAGCAAGATGGATGGGTTCCTGATTGTGATCAGGACGGCGGGACAAGGCGTTGGCGACGCGGTTCGTTTCAGCCTTGATGGGCTGAGTGGTGAAACTGAACTCGGATAAGTCACGCCACCAACGTGCCTGTCGAGGGGAAAGCTTAGGCTTCATGAGGAAAGCCTGGACAACTGAGTTGTCTGTGCGCACCGTGAAGGGCGCCCCGTGCAGGTAGTGACGCCAATGCCGAGTAGCATAAACTATTGCGAGAACCTCACGTTCATTGACAGTGTAGTTTATCTCGGCAGGCAGTAGCTGACGGGAGTAGAAGGCGATTGGGCAATCCTCAGCACGAGCCTCGACMGTCCCATCCTCCGCGATGGTCGGGGAGTAAGTAACGGGAGGACTGACGGTGGAAGGAAGTGGTGGGAGGGTAGGCGTCAGTCGAGAAGCAGCGTCAGCAGGRGGGGGGGGGGGGGRGGRGGAAMATGAGGATAAGGTGAATCGGGAGGAGAGGGAAACACCTGAGAAAATACTGCTCCTACTGCAAAATCTGACGCATCAGTGGTGACGATTAAGGGGCGATCAAAATCGGGGAGGCGAAGAACCGGTGCACAAGTCACCGCCTTCTTGAGGGCGCGAAAAGCATCCTCGCAGAGGGGTGTCCAAAACCATAGCGGGTTCTTCCGAAGGAGGGTGGAGGTAAGGACGTAGGAATACCTAGCGTATCCCCGGATGAAATTACTATAGTAACTAGTGAGGCCTAAAAAACTGCGAAGCTGCCTGGTCGATGTGGGGACGAGCCACTCTGCAATTGCAGTGATCTTCGCGTCGTCCATGTGGAGACCCTGGTCAGACACATGGTGCCCTAGGAAGTCCACTTTGCTCTGGGCAAAGCGGCACTTACTAAGCTTGGCATAGAAGCCATGCTTGCGTAAGCGCTGTAGGACATCGCGAAGGTGTCTGAGATGGTCTTCTAAGGTGCGACTGTAGACCAGGATGTTGTCCAGGTATACGAGAACGTATTCTTCGAGGATGTCCTTGAAGATGTCGTTCATCGTCGTCTGGAAGGTGGCGGGTGCCTTGGTGAGGCCGAATGGTATCACTGTGAACTCGTACTGATAGAAGTGCCACCGAAAGGCGGTCTTTGGCTGGTCCTCTGTGGCTACGCGGATCTGGTGGTAACCGCTACGAAGATCGATCTTCGTGAAGAAGCGGTTGCCCGCCAGACGGTCAAACAGCTCATTCGTGCGAGGCATGGGGTAACTGTTCTTAACCGTATAACGGTTAAGGCCGCGGTAGTCAATGCAAAGGCGGAAAGTTTCGTCCGCTTTGCGAGCAAAGAGGACGGGTGCACCCCAAGGGGAGTTACTGGGTTTAATGAAACCCAGTCGAAGGAGCTCCTCAAGCTGACGCTTGAGTTTCGTCGCCTCTGGAATCAAGAGTCGGTAGGGTGCCTGATGGTGGACACGATAGTCAGACACGCGCTGGATAGAATGCTCAACACCTAGCATGGGAGGGATCCCGCTGTATGAGAAATACGGGGGGAAAACGTCGCGGTACTCTCGAATCAAATCGCGAACGGCGGGCTCTAAGTCGGCCGTGAACCACATGAGTTCCTCAACGTCTGCGTTGGCGCGAGACGTATGGGTGGACTCGGCAGTGATCGACGAAGGGACCTGGGATGTCAAGGGGGTATCCGCAGGCTGATGGGTGGATGTGGAGATAGGAGCCGTGAAGATGGAGGAAGGGCTAGGGGGATCGGGCTCCAATCAGATGAGCTCAACCTCGGGACAGAGTGGATCGTAGCGAAGAAGATCCATGACGTTCACTGAGTAGAACGTGACGTCCTCCTATCGTATGAAGTGAGCAAACTGACGAGGAGAAGTGAAGGCGATGTTTGGGTGGGACCCAGAGGGACGAGGGTCCTGGGGAGGTAGGTCTCGAGGGGTGTCGCCCGTGGTTCCAATGAAGGGGACTCGATAAGTTTGACCACACTTCGTTTTGAGAATGAGTGTCTCAGTCGCCCATTCGGCCTCTGTGCCACGGAACCGGCGAGACCAGGGAGTGGCAAGGATAAAGTCGTACCCAGTTTCCAGCACGTCGAAGTATGCAGAGGAATGGTAGCACCAAGGCGCCTGGGTACTATCCGATGGCTGGAGGGTGAGGGAGAAGTGGAGATCAGGGACCGTCTGATCGAAGAAGCGCTGCGTCTTGTTATCTCCGAGGGTAACGGAGATAGGAGAGCGAGACCCGGAGGTAGCTAGGCGAGCTTCCTCCACCACGCGAGGGTGAACGAAGTCTCCCTGCGAGCCAGAGTCCCATAAAGCGCGGTACACCCTCGTAGATGTCCCCTGACGAATAGGGATAATGGGGAGGGTGCGATCAGGGTCAGAGAGCAGAGCGAGAAGACGACGCAGGACGTTTACGTGTCTCGTGAGTCGCTCCTGGCGAGCCCGAAGGATGCTAAAGTCCAGGAGAGATGACACAACGTCATCGCGAGCCGCCAACTGGGCACTACAACGAGTTGTGCGAATGGCACGACGCTTTGGAAGTCTTAGAGGGGAAGGGCTAGATGCGGCGGTCTGGTGTGGGGCAGACGGTACCTCGACAGACGGCGGAGCAGAGGGAACTGCGTCTTTCGTGTCCTGAGGATCCTCTGGTGGGGTAGCCAAAGGGGAAAACCGCGACTCGGTGGTCGGGAAGCCGACTACGTGTGAGGCCTCAGCGGTACACTGCACCGTGGCTAGCTGGGTGGGGCTGGCCGGGCGGGGCCAGGGGCGACTGAGATCGACGCTGACGAGAAATATCAGCGTAGTGCCGATTGAGGGCGGCATGGTATGGACACCGTGAGGAGGTGTGTCCATCCTGGCGGCAACGAAGGCAGCCGCGACGACCCTCGAGGGCGGCGCGCTCCTCAGGAGATAGAGCTCCGTGAGGAGGAACAAAACCATGCGGGAGGTCTATCTGACGAACCGTGATCGTGCAGGCGCTAGCCTATGCAACCCGACTGGGTGCACGACCCATGGCGGACATGGCCGTCTGCAGGCGCTCGGCCACCGGAACAGTGTCGTCATCCAAGTGATACTAGATGACGTCTCGGAGCTCGATGTCCTCGGGGGCGTCCCCAAGGGTAGGGTCAAGCTCGGCTGAGGCGTCCTCGCCGTCCTCTAGAGAACTGTAGCGCCGAGAGAATGGCGCTCCAGGTCGAGCTGGTCGGTGAAAGCGGCCGGCGAAGGAGGATCGACCACGCGTGGTGCCGTGTGACTGGGTGGCGGCGGCGGTGGATCGCGAAGAAGTGTCGGAGAAGCGACTCCACATCTTTTGGTATTGTCGAGCAGCCTCGTAGGCCTGCTCGGAGGAGGCGAAGCTCTGTTGCCAGATCTCGATGCGGTAGTCAGTCAGAAGACGGACTACGAACCTGTTGGTCAAAAGGACCTCTGGTAGGAGTGCCTCATCGCAAATGAGGCGGGCATCCTGAAACACTCTAATGTGACGCTCAAGATCGGCTGGTGCGGAGGACCTGCGCCACTGCGTTTGGGGTGTGGGCTCGGTAGGCCTGGTATGGCCAGATCTCTTTGTGCACATGGTTGTGTTCAGGGTTGTCTGCCGGGTGAGTTTCCTATAAGCATATGACATCAGGCCAGTCCCTCCCTTCCACCCCTCTCAGGAGCTCCATGATCGCCCGCTGTTTAGATTGTTTCGCATATGCCAGTCCGTTTACATTCAGCGAGCGCAGATCTAAGTCAGTTGTCCTCTTGCTGAGCTTCCATTGTTTGTCTTTGTTGTATACCGCGTCTATCGCATTCATTTCTTGCATTTCACTTCGTAACTTTTGCTGAGAGTTATTTTTTTCTTTTTCAAGTGGCAACCATGGCTCTTTGTCCAGTAGGCTGCCCTTCTGCAGGGTGCCATTTGTCAGTAATTTTGTTAAGAAGGATCTGATGTCTGTTTCAGACCAGGGGTCGCAAGCCTTGATCTTAAGTAGCTGCAAGTCCATTAGCATCTCCTGGTTCAACCAGCGGAGACCCGCCACTCTTGCCTGCTCGTATCTCAGATATACATCTTTGGCCTACAGTCTGTGCTCGCCATATGAGATCACCAGGGAGGAGGAGGCACCCTGCGGCAGATGGTCTTGGGTCAGTTGAACTATGTCCGACTTTTAAAGTGTTGGACCACCTCCCCATGCCGTGAGAGAGAGGAGGAACGCAGATCGACCTTTAACAACGATTTCCCCGTGTGTTTCCCCCGGTGGTATTGAGAGGCCTATTTCCCAGGATTTGTCAATACATTACAACCATGGTAACCACGGACGCGGACACCGGACACTTCCGGCCTGTCTTCCAGACTAGTGTCTGGACCGGTATGGACTGTCCAGTGATCCGGACACCCGGACATCACTGGACCTGGACCTGTCTCTTATACACATCTAGATGTGTATAAGAGACAGGTGTAAGTGTAAGTCCCACTGCTGGTCATCCCTAACA